AGTGCTATTCGGTGTCTTGGAGATGAACTCTGTTGCAGGCATGGCAAACTCTAGCAGGACAGAGAAACTTGAGACATGCTGGAAGACACCGGAGCAGAATGTGCTGAGATACAAGGGAGAAATGATTCAGTAAGGATATAATTCCCACCACAGTTGAATGGGAAGCATCCCTTGACTCCGGATTTGAATTTGAATCCTGCAAGTCTGAAACTGTGTTTCTCCTCTGTTCCCTTTACAGCATCAGAAATTAGGGAAGGGCCTTTTTTGAGACACTTGCCATGCTCACATACCTGCTGTAGGCTCAGCTACTGCTTATCTGTCTCTTTCCCTGACTTTGTCTGTTTCCCGTCTCCCAAGAGACAAACCTTGGGGTACAAATAAAAGTCATTATTCCCAATAAAGTCTTAAGGCGCATGACGCAGACACTTAAGGATGCTGTCTAAGGAAACTTACTTGACCGCCTCACACTGCATGCGGCAGGTTGTACAATCCAATCCTTTGAGGAACCACAAAACAAGATGCATGGACTTCACTACGGGAGTATTACTTGCGGAAGCCATAATGTGCATTGTTTAGGGTTATAGCCACAACGATGGCGAATTTAGATGTAGCAAACACAACTTATGATGTTTCCTTGGCATGTTTTATTGCTTAACATACTTTGCAGGCCCAATTGTAGTCTACGGGTAGTCCTCGATTTATTACCTATTTCTTTAGCAACCACTCGAAGTTACGATGGACCATCATAAGAGCATTTCTACAACTAGTACAGAAAGTTTTTGAAAGACACCAAAAGGGCCGGGTGGGTCACATATGATTTATGGGACAGCTTCCCACAGATATCAACCGAGCTTCCTTTGATGGCCACTCACCATTTAATTCTGGAGGAAGAAAGAGGTGGTAAGTGCTATAGATGTCATTGGACACCTGGAGCTGAAGCCCAGTGTGCTTCTTTAGGAGTTCAGTGATGTTCTCTTCCTGGAAGGGAATCTTCTCAAGGATCACAACAGCATCTGCCTTATCCCCAGAAGCACCATTCACCTAAAGAAAGAAGAACATAAATAGTTCTCTGCAACACCAAAGTCATTCCCTGATGCCAGCCACCACTAGCAGATGTGCTTGGAAGCACACAAGCAAGATGCAAAAAGTCAAAGATCATTATATATATATATATATATATATATATATATATATATATATAT